GGAAGCCTACAGGACAGCTGGAGAGGGAACTTTTTACAAGGGCATGCAGTTAAGAACTAGGATTATCCAAGAAAGAAATTTAGCTACAAGCCATTTTTGGATTTTAATACAGCCTTTGCTTGCTAGATTTATTATTTCTTCCAGACAGGACAAACAGAAAAGTTTTTCTTACAATCGTATTAGAGAACGTAAACAAGATTGCCAAACCTATTAGTAATTATAACAATTAGAAGAAAATTGTGTGGTTAATGACGAATGTTCTGTCTTCTGCTCATTTTGTTTCCTACCCATGTACCTTGCAGACACATTCAGAAGTCTCTCAGCTTTGTTATCTTTCCTCAGTCCCTATTTTCCTGCCCTGGGAGGACCAAGACAAGGGACTCATTGCCCCCCAGCTTCACACTACATTTTCCACCCCTAGGCAGCTGTACACAAAGTCACCTGCCCAGGCTTGCAGGCTCTGCTCTCTCCCCCTGCTCCACAGTCACCTTTTTAAGACCATCACTGAGGAGTGATGGATCAAGGCAGGGAGATAGCCCCGAATCTGAGTACCCCTACTTGCAGGAATAATTAAATATATGTTGAACTCAACATAGCACATGTCAATCACTTTCAATATTTCAATAAAACCATTCCTCTTTTATAGTCAGTTGATGAAACCTGAAATGATGGCTGCAACAACAGCTGTCAGTTTTAAAGTTCTTTTGATGTAAAATGCATTGACACCCTCTCCTGAATTTTAAAAAAAAAAAAGATCTGGGGGAAAAAAGAATTTTGTCTTTTCACTCTAAGATGAGCACAGAAACAAAAGCTTCTATTTCTTGAGCAACTGTAACTAAGGCATAAATTCCTTTTTATTTTTAAATGAGGTGTATGTGTTATATTCCATGCACAAATAATTTTACTATACCCTTTGAATGCTCAATTTTCAGAATTATTTTCTTGTTGAATTCTTCAGCTCTCCCATGAGCTTCTGTTCCCCCGCCCCTTCCTTTCACTTTTAATTGAAAAGCAATTTTGTTGCCAGGTTGAACCACAACTTTACTTGACAGGCCTAGAGAGGCAGCTCCAACACAGGGTCAGGAGCCAGTGTACAGGGTGCTGCAAGTTCTCTGAACATGAGCACTTAGATGTGTAAGAAATGAAGGATGTAAAAGCCAGACAGGAGTACAAAAGAACCAAACAAACCCTCTGGTACTGAAACTCCACGCACTAGAAGATGGATGGATAGCTGTCAAACTTGTCACAAGCACATAAAACCCCATGGTTTTGCAGAAAGCATTACAATAAAACTAGAAGTTTGCAACAGTGAAAGGCAGCATGGATGAAAGCAAAAGTGTTCATCTGCAGGTATATACCTAGCAATTAGCTTTGGCTAATTCCAATTTTTGCCAAAAGAAGAAGACAATATGCTTGCTGATAGCATTCAAGAGATGATCAACTGTCACAATTTACAGAAGTCCTTAAGAGTTGCTCACACGTTATGGGAGATGCAGAGAGATCAGAGCAGCAGAAGGACTTTAAAATCAATATCAATACAGGATGATGGAGGATGAAGAGATTGAGAGCAATCCTGCAGCATAGGTACTGGTGGATGACAAGTTGGACGTGAGCTGGCAAAGTGCACTCATGGCCCAGAAAGCCAACCTGGGCTGCATGAAAAGAAGCAGGTCGAGGGAGGTGATTCTGCCCTTCTACTCTGCTCTTGTGAGATCCCACCTGGAGTGCTGCATCCAGCTCTGGGGGCCCAACACAGGGACACAGCCTGTGGGAGCAGGTCCAGAGGAGGGCCACGAAGATGATCAGAGGGCTGAAGCACCTCTCCTATGAAGAAAGGCTGAGAGAGCTGGAGCTGTTCAGCCTGGAGGAGAAAACCCTCCACCAAGACCTAATTAATAATTAAAGGACCTTTTGATACTTAAAGGGACTCTATACAAAAGAGGGGGACAGACTTTTTAGCAGGGCCTGTTGTGACAGGACAAGAGGTGACGGTTTTAAACTAAAAGAGGGTAGATTCAGACTAGACATAAGGAAGAAAACTCTTACAATGAGGGTGGTAAAACACTGGCACAGGTTGCCCAGAGAGGTGGTGGATGCCCCATCCTCGGAAACATTCAAGGCCAGGATGGATGGGACTGAGCAACCTGATCTAGTTGAAGATGTTCCTGCTCATTGCAGGGGGATTTGAACTGGATGACCTTTAAAGGTCCCTTCCAATCCAAACCATTCTATGAATCTGAGGAAACAAAGGGAAGGGTGATGCAGTTCAAGTTACACACCAGCAAAATTACCCATACGGGTTCTGGGTAAAAGCAGGGCACACATTACAGCCAGAAACAAGTCTGGCAAAGAATAAAAAATACAGAGACCAGATGAGGATGGGCAGAGCATAAGCACCTCCCCTAGTCTTTAAACGTTACCTTCCTGTTTAAGGACTTTGGTGAGAGTACACAGACCACAGCACCAAGACCTAGACACAGACTGGACATAAAAGCTTAAGGGGAAAGAAGCTCCTCCATGGAAGTCACAGGCCTGATATCTCACAGTAGCTCTGTACATGAGAAGTTTGCTATTTCTAACAGATGTGAGATAGACAAGTTATCTACTGAACCACTTAAACTTTGTATGTGTATTCTACACGCTCTCCTGTTCTTTTTCTTCATATTTCCTTAGTTCTGCATTTCCTAGGGGCAAACATAAACATATTCTTTCACACATAATCACACTACAATCAAAGCTTTTTACATATAGCTTTGTCCCTCTATGCTGCAACCAGAGTTTTTCTGACAGGTGAAGGAACACACTAAGTCAAAACATTAGCTGTAGCAATGACAGGTTAGATTCAGATAGAAACTGCTGCAAAGGAAATGCTGATAATAGAAAGCAACCCCTGTCTTGACCAAGGCAAAAGCAGCCAAAAAGGTGGAAAAGGTACAGAAAGGACACATTAGACAACTGTTGCTGGGATGAAACGAAAAGTCAAGGGTATAGAGTAATCTTGCTTCTGACTGTATCTGGCACTCAGTAATCTACTTCTTTTTCTTTTTTTCACACTAGTTCTACCACAGGAAATCTACACACTAAACAAATTACAGGTCTGCAGCATTTAATCCTGTTCACTTTAATAAATCCATCTAAGGATGATCTAATCTATGCTAATGACCATCCAAATAGAAGTTCCTCTCTCACACTTGGCTAAAAGCTGCAAGTTCTTCCCCTTCCCTAACCTCAAGCGCAGCTTTGGTCTTGAGTCCAGCTCACTGGACTTCATCATCATCAAGTTCAATCTACTAACTGGATGGCAAACTAATCCAACAAAACCAGAAAATTTTCCTCTCCTTAGTGATTGGGAGTGGTTTAGTCACTGTCAGTACTGCAGGCACCTGAACAGAGGAAGTGGAGGGGCCTCACACCAAAGAGCTGGTAAGAACAAGGCTTTTCATTTCAACTATGATGGGCTCTTTTCACAGGACTCACTGTCTCATGGGATAACTCAACTGAAAAAGCACAATGTCAGCCACTTTCACCTTCCTCCCCATGGCTCCCTACTCAGTACCAGCACCACTTGTCACAAGACCTGCTCCACGATCCAGCAGAACTCACTGCAGCAGAGGAACATCCTGCTCTGCCTCACAGGGCTTCCCTACCACGCTGATGAGCCAGAGTTGCAGTTTCAGACCAGTGGCACATGGATCCATTGAACTTGCAAATCTACTTTAAGCTTCATGGTTTATGGTCACCAACTATTTCAGACTTACCATACCATTTATGCTGCCGTAATCATCTCCCAGTACATATTTATGACTGCAAATGCTCTCTCCCCTATCAGTGACCTACAACACCATCATAGAGCTTCCAGTGTTGAATCTCAGTTTTAATTTAGACACAAGCAAGTGACAAATGGCTGCAATGAACCGACAATTTCACTACCTGTAGTCCAGACTTACTACAGACTAAAGCTCACTATCACTGCAATTTGATACACGATCTTATGAATCCCACATACATGTGGCAATAATAAATCCAGACATATGGAACGAACCAGTTCATGTGAAAACAGAGGTGTGCTTATCTGTAGCACTGAGTGGTTAAAACAGTGATTAGCAGTGATTCAATACTCCCATTTCACATTAGCAGTAAGTAAAGCAACTGGGGAGGGCCTCACTTGACCTTAACTGTTAAGGACGTAATGTCAACATTTGTACAATCAAGCTAGTGCCCTGCTCTGACATATTAAGATAAAAGCTAGAAGTACCTCAAATAATGAGATCTTTATTTTTAATTACCCAGTACCTTTAGGCAGCAATTACAAAGACTACAAAAGAAATCTGGTTGACCTTCAGTTATTCCAATACTTGAGAGAAGCAAGAAAAGGGCAGGTTTGAAGGAAGTGATGTCCATTCAATTCCTAACAGGTAACTTTTGCATACAGTTCTTTAAGCTCTTAACGGCCCTACATCAACAAAACTTATGCATCTAGAATGATGAAAGAATACAGACATTTAATTTGTAGTTAGCTTACAAATTAAACATGGCTTAAAAATATTACTCCACACACAATTTTACGTATTTAAGAAGTTCCCTTCTAGTAACAGAAATTTTTGGATTATACATGATCATTTTTCAAAGGGAAAAAAGTGAAGTCAACTGCTTTAAAGGCAAAGTTACTCTTATGAAATGTTTTCATGTGTATGTGTAAATATTTGTTTTTAACAGAGCATGACTTTATTATAGACACACAGTCTTCTCCTCCCTGGCCCCTAAAAACGATGCTTTATATTTTAGTTGCACCAATATAATTATTAGACCACACCACTGATCTTTCCCTACTGATGTGTATCAGGAATCCCATACAGTTCCTCTCTATCTCCAAGAAAAGAGTTAAGTTTGTAATACACAAGGAAAATATTCTCTTTTATTACAGGTATTCTCAGTTTTAACATAAGATGCTTCATATAAGATTAAGATAACATACCATTAATTGAGCCACATAAACTTACCTCTAAATATATCGATGGTGGGTTATGCTCTCCTCCAAATTTGTCTAGCAGTGCCTCTATATGTTCTTGAGTCAATTTAATCATCTGTTTGATATTCCACACCTAAAACAGAAAATTAAGTTTTTTAATCATCAAAAGGACCCTGCAGAATCTGTCCTAAAACAAACAACCCCCAAAACATTTTCTTGATATTTAATAAGTCCATAATAAAAATTTTAATTATCAATAAAGGAGTGCAAAAGGCTATCCTGTTCATCCAGTGTCAGTAATAGAGTGCTTCTGAGATAAACAGAGAAAAATCAAATTTGGGTTTAAAACTCAGGACCTCATTGAATAAACAACTTCTAAGAATGGTTTATTTCTCTTGTTTATCAAGATCATAGGATTTTTCCTTTCAAGACTTTGCAATCCAATTTCGACAGTACCACAAAGTTTAGCAAAGGAGTTTTTCTATCAAACCTCAATAATATGTATAAACAACACTCACAAAACCTAGACCTAGTGTTCTATTTACATGGGAATAGGATGTTTTGATCTTAAAGAGTACCTTTTACACCTTGACTTCTCTACTCAGTCTACCCTGCAAGTTACAGACCTTGGACACAATCTGGAAAACACATTTACCTCTAGTGCACAGAGACAACTTAGGGCATTGTACTGTGAAGCAACTTATGTTGCTACTGATTCTGCACAACTTGAAAGAGTTAACTTTAGCACCTGTAGACTACTGTAGGTGAACAGCATTATGAATTCAAATTTATATCTAAAAAAGCAGCAAAGCACAAACCCAAACCTCTAAAGCAATAATGCTACACTGATGTAAGAAGCTACTTGAGTCCAAGCAAATTCAGAAATTTATAGCTGAGCACAAGGGAGGAAGAAAGGAGAATCACTCTTCATCTGTACTGTTTTTAGACTACCTATCAGAAAAATTATTCTATCAGTTTTTAGATCCAGGATGGAAGAAATGAAGGCTATATAAACAGTGCTTCTTCCAAAGGTACTTCAAAGACTCCCATTGCCTTTTTCAGTTTAACTCTTTTCTACTTCCCGGACTAAAACATATACAGCCTCAAGACCAGGTCTGGATGTACAAACTGTGTCAACCTACCTCTTAAAAAAAAAAATAAAAAGCAAATAACTTCATTTTCTAAAGTAGGCACCACCAATAGGATGTAATCCAAGCTGGATCAAAACAAGTTTTATTACTTAAATTTAGAAGTTCATGAATAAATGCCCTCTAAAATACTGAAACTGCATTTTGCACACCACCTTATTTCCTCATCCTAATTCTATATATCAGTTATCTGTAGCAATTTCCTGAAGGAAACTAATGATTGATTCACTTCTAGATCAATTTTTAGAACAGCTACCAGAACAATGATTTCATCAAGAAGCTGCAGTTGAGCAAAAATAGTTTGCTCAGGAACAAGCAAACCAAACCATAAAGAGTGAGGAGTATGGGGGGACTCCAAAGAGTGTGCTACTCAAGTATTCTGTACACAAATTCTCTTGAGGCAACTGTGGAAGTCAACCTGCTTCTCAACTTGCAATCAACTTATCATGTTGAAGCTGAGACTGCCAACCAGCAGCAAAAAGAAGCATTTCTGCGTTTTGCTAGTTTTTCCCAAGATGGCAAGGGCTAGTTGTATGCTTGGTGAAAAGAACAAGCTTGGATCAACACCATTTCAATTAACCTGTTCACTATAAGGGTGTCAATATATTAGGATGTTTACTTCCCATGTAACTGGCAATATGCTGTTAACCTGGGTGTGTACACTGAAAATTCCTGGCAATCTTAGGAATCGTCTCATGATTATCTTCAGAAACAGGTTTATTAGTACTTAGTGAAACTCCTTTTATTTGGTCACTCTGGCAATTTTACCCAGCAAAGGTTTTCCTCAACATCTGCTCTATCACATCAACAACTTACTCCACTTAAACGCCTGGCAATGGGGAGGGTGAGGAGGGAACATTCTTCACTGACAACATAATACAGAATTGCAGAAGGACTGAGGTTGGAAGGGAACTCTGGAGATCATCTGGTCCAAACCCCTTCTCAAACAGGCTGCCCGGGACCATGTCCAGAAGGTTTTTGAATATCTCCAAGGATGGAGGCTCCACAGCCTACATGAGCAACCTGTGCCAGTGTTCAGTCAAGCTCACAATAAAAATGTCTCCTGATGGTCAGAAGGAACCTCCTGTTTCTGTTCGTGTCCACTGCCCCCGGCCCTGTCACTGGGCACTGCTGAAGACAGCCTGGCTCCATTTTCCATTCACCAGCCCTTAATCATCTTCATGGCTCTTCACCGGACTCCCTCTTATGTCTCTCTTGTATTGGGAAGTGTCCCAAACTGGACACAGCACTTGGGGTGAGGCCTCACTAGTGCCACGCAGAATGAGCCCCTGCCAAATGAGTTTCCAAATATTTTTTTTTTTTTTTTTTAAGATTGATAATGAGTAACTTCCTTCCTTGTATGTTATTTTCTATTTTGTGTCCATAACCACAACCTTGCTCCCCTCTTCTCTTACAGTGAAGATACCAAACAACAAATATAACTGAGCAACACCAACATGCACAATGGAAGCAAGTTATTTAGGAGATGCTGGCAAGAGATCAAACAGCGTTTAACAAGGGCAGACATCTTCCTCCTAAGTTCAAGTGCAAACACTGAGTGACTATTTTAGGTCGCCCCATGAGGCTGTGGCTGCCCCATCCCTGACAATGTTCAAGGCTTTGAGCAACCTGGTCTAGTGGAAGGTGTCCCTGCCCATGCCTGGGAGGTTGGAACTAGATAATCTTCAAGGTCCCTTCCAACCCAAACCAATCTGTAATTCTATGATTGAAGAAAAAACCCTTAAGCTTACTGTCAGCTGCCAGGCTACAGTAAAAATATCTTCACCTGAAGAACCTGAAATTGAAGTCTAATGGAAGACAAAACTTCTCAGAGGAACCAAAAACATTTCCCTGAATTACCTACTATACATCTGTGCAGTAAACCAAGAGCCTTTCCACAAGTGAATCTTACAGGCAAACTTTACATTTCTGTAATCTTAGAAAGGCTTCTCACACAGTTAAAAGTACACTGAAGGCAGAAGGAAATTTATCAAAGTCAACCATAGCAACAAATAATTACTTGTTGCACACAGAAATGGAAAAGCTATTTTGTGTCCCATATTCATCAAAAGTCTTCTGACAAGATGAGAAAACTTTCACCAATCTAGTATTGACTAGCATATTCTACTCCTAACCAAGTACGCACAAGAACACACATGCCATGACAAAAGTTCCAAGCTTCACAATTCCCTTTTAAGTGGCAACCCTTACTTAACTTCACTTAAAGAGAACTTACCTTCTGGCTTTCTACATCAGGGAATAAGTCACAGGTTTTTTGTGAACCAGAGCAACCCTTAAGCAGCTAGCTCCTTGAGAATCAACCCGTGTGCAGGTATATTGCATCCTACTATGCAGGATCTACGGCTACTTCAACTCAGTTGAAGGAACTCAAGTCTTTTCCTAACTAGAACTCAGAACAAGTGACCTCACCTGACTCGAAGAAGTCTGTCTCTGCCCACCACAGTACACGCAACTTCTGCTTCACAAAAACTACACCACACCTGTTGCACTGACACAGTCAGCAGAGCCAGCAACTTCAGCCCGTCTTTCCTCCTCGCAGACTTGCTTGTTCAGACAACTCAGCTAAGTTTGCATCATGTGCACAGACCAGCCTTACCAACCTCGAGCCAAGATATATCCCTATCTCTGCTGTGGAAAAACCCCTGAAACACTAGGTTCTTAAGAATGACACCTCTGGAATTCAGCAGCATTCACACACATACAGGTTTCTTCAAACTGTCCAGATAAAAATCTAAATGCACAAAAATTGCCTAGCAAGTGTCTCATTCCCCATAAGCACATACATTCCAGGAAAGCAGCAAAGAACTACCTAACAACAGAGACAGCAAAAAATGACACATGGAATCCTTTTATCAATCGGTTCTGGACCAAAGAGCTTGTTCCTACACAACAGAATAAAACCAAGTTTTTAAAGATTAAAGTAATCCCTTTATCCACTCTTTATTCACACTTTCTTTAGAAGTAAAAGAAAACTGCAGAAGCCTGATGGTTATTAAGAAAGAACAGACCTATTTTTTCTTACTCTTACGGGCGCTCCACTGCATTTATGAAGCTCCACACCTGTAGGAAACCGTAAACCCACGACTGCCAAGTATCTTACAGAAACACAGAAATCGATGCCAGCCTAAGAGACAGTTGCTACAAATCTTAATGCATCCTGAAGGAAATCTGCAGTGCATCTAGTACTGCCCACATGCAAGAACGGTCCCTTTCCATGCGAAACGGCACAGGGACGTGAGACACTTTGTTTCATTGTAGTTCCATGAAAAAGTAATGAATCCTTTACAGCATGGATAACCTTATCATTTTTCCAAAAAAAGCATCAAATAAATGTTTCTGTCCTATCTGGTAGCATTAGGTTAAGGTTATTCTCTATCACAAGAGATTAGATTTGATTCTCCTTTTAGTGCTGCTGACACAAGGAAGCTGACGCAGGCTAACAGACACCGGCAGCCAGACGACTGGAAATATTCCAGATATACTGGAATATATCAACTTGAATCTGCCGATTGCGGATAATTGTGCATTAATTTTGCAAATAAGCACTCCCTTGCAATGCAATAAAGATGATGACCTATTTCAAGCCAGAGGCAAGTCAGATACAGAAGAAGCCTAAATCCATTCTATTCAGGGAAGACTGTGGCTCCACAAAAGCGAGGCTCTAAGCCACAAAGTTATTTTCGCATCCTTTGCCGCTTGTCAAAATGTGCAGTGCCCGAGACAATACAAAGCAAACTTATCTTCCATACTTTTTGCATCTGGCATCAGTACTCAAATCTTACAGCACATCCCAATTCTAAGCTGTATGATTCATATTTGGTAGAAGACACCTGAAAGTTCAAATCTATTCTGTAAAAAAAAAAAAAAGCCATTATTTGTCCAAGCATGGGATGTCCCGAATTTGGATTATCACATTTGGTGATGATAGAGAATACTCTGGTAGAACCAACAATGTAATTAAAAA